ATGGAAATATTAAGAGGTAAACAAACAACCCCATACTTCTTTTTGCCAAACAAGATTCATCTCTTAACGATTCAGAGTCTGCTTCTTAATGAAACTATTAGGAGATAAACAAACAACCCCTAACAAAATTATTCATAGTTTACTGATTTCTTGAAAATGGAGGACATACCAAAATTTATTTAGAAACATTCAGATCCAATAAATTATTTATTTTAAAGATTTTAACATTAATTATTCTGTCAAAATATTCAATACCAACAATAAAATTTTAAATGAAAGGATGATATATTTAGCTTGATTGATGAGAATAATAAATATATCTTACAGAGCTGATTGTTTTCTATTTTGATTTTACTTGTAAAGCGGGTGATCGTCCTGAAATTAGTCGGCTCGTATAATGGGTTGGATATCCAGGTTAATCAAAATAATAATAATAATAATAATAATAATAATAATAATAATAATAATAATAATAATAATAATAATAATAATAATAATATCTCCTTTTTCAATATGAAAAATTAATGTATTTTAACTTGATTCATATTTTGGGTAACGTACTTTCAAAACTTTCATCTTGGTATCTAAGATGTAAGGTTTTAAACATTTAAGTATCCGGATAACCGATTGAAGACTAATTTTAAATTAAAAAAGACTAATTTAGATTGAAAAAAATCCATTTCACTAACCACGTCAGCAAATAATACTGAGTTGGATATCACATCACTCGTAACATCAGCATGATAACCGGTTAATACTTCAACCAGTTACCCAGATACTTAAATGTTTAAAACTTTACATCTTAGATACTAAAATGAAAGTTTTAAAAGTACGTTATCCAAATAGGAATCAAACTAATGTATGTTATTTTTTCATGAAAAAAATTAATGTCACTAACCACGTCAGCAAATAATACTGAGTTGGATATCACATCACTCGTAACATCAGCATGATAACCGGTTAATGCTTCAACCAGTTACCCAGGTACTCAAATGTTTAAAACTTTACATCTTTGATACTAAAATGGAAGTTTTAAAAGTACGTTATCCAAATAGGAATCAAACTAAACTATGTTATTTTTTTCATGAAAAAAATTAATGTCATTAACCACGTCAGCAAATAACATTGAGTTGAATACCACATCACTCGTTACATCAGCATGATAACCGGTTAATACTTCAACCAGTTATCCATGTACTCAAATGTTTAAAACTTTACATCTTTGATACTAAAATGGAAGTTTTAAAAGTACGTTATCCAAAATAGGAATCAAACTAAAGTATGCTATTTTTTCATGAAAAAAATTTATGTCACTAACCACGTCAGCAAATAATACTGAGTTGGATACCACATCACTCGTAACATCAGCATGATAACCGGTTAATACTTCAACCAGTTACCCATGTACTTAAATATTTAAAACTTTACATCTTATATACTAAAATGAAAGTTTTAAAAGTATGCTATCCAAAATGGGAATCAAACTAAAGTATGCTATTTTTTCATGAAATAAATTCATGTCACTAATCACATCATCAAATAATACTGAGTTGGATACCACATCACTCGTTACATCAACATAAGAACCGGTTAATACTTCAACCAATTACCCGGGTACTTAAATGCTTACAACTTTACATCTTAGATACTAAAATGAAAGTTTTAAAAGTATGTTACCCAAACTATGGATCAAATTAAAGTATGTTATTTTTTCATGTAATTTACCCTTTTTTTTTTATTTTAGATAACTAACTAGTTGAAAATATTTAATAATTTTTTTGGATCTCATATATTTTTTATTTTGATTTTATTAAATTATTCCTTTTTTTTTTTTGTCTTTTTATGTTTGGTTTTTGATCTTTGTAATTTATAATGTCTCTTTCAAGTGTATTTTTTTTAATTTTATTTATAAAATAATATATATATTTTTAAAAATGATGGATGTTTTTTAGGGTTTCTTTTTAAGTACCTGGGTAACCCAATGAAGACTAATTTTAGACTAAAAAAAGACTAATTTTAGATTAAAAAAATTCACGTCACTGACTAGGTCAACAAATAATAACGAGTTGGATACCACATCACTCGCCACATCAGTATGATAACCGGTTAATACTTCAACCAGTTACCCGGGTACTTAAATGTTTAAAACTTTACATCTTAGGTACCAAAACGGAAGTTTTGAAAGTATATTACCCAAAATAGGAATCAAGTTAAAGTACGTTACTTTTTCATGCAATTTGCCCTTTAGATTATGTCCTAATTATTATAATACACTTTTTAAGTCAAACAACTTTTATGGATACAAATACTGTACTTTTTTTGGATAACCAAAAGATGTTTATATATATATATATATATATATATATATATATATCCGACCTTTATACCTTATTTTCAGATGAAATATATTGACTGATCTGATCACTAGACACTATACATCATATGTGGGTCAGATACAGATACTGCTGAGAACATGAAATCAATTGAAAATACTTTTGTGTGGTGTGAAAATTTGTCGTGAGAACCGTGAAGGCATATTTATATTCCGTGAATGTTTCAACCTTCATACTCGTACTGTATCACGACTGAAAAACTGTGTCACAGAAGCCCACACATTTATTCCGCTGAAATTTGTGTTAGAATAGCTTCTGTAGCGACCTTTTTTTTCCCTAGTAATAGACGAAAGGATCGAAGCCTACCTTTATTTATCTATATCAGCTGTCAAGCACGAGCAGATAAAAAGGATTTCAGTGCCCCTCTCTTGATAAGAAGCAGAACCAGCCATCACCTACAACCCTTTCCCGATCTGTCATTACACCTCGAGAACTTATATGAGATTACAGTTACATCCCACGGATTGAATCTGCTTGTTCCTGGATGTTCAATAGGAATCCATCGCTACTATTCCAAATACGTTGCTGGTATAGCTTACATGTTGCAACGAAAGTACAAATTAAATAAATGAAGTTAAATAGCATGAATAAATGGAATACTGATTTACAACCTTGATGAATCGTTAATACAAATGTTCGATTTATAACTTAATAGTTTCATTAAGAGGCAACATCTGAATTTTTAAGAGGTGAATCTTGTTTGGCAAAAAAAAATTATGCCTCTTAATGGTTCTAAAACCTTATGAATTATTTTGTATCATGGGCATCCCTTAACCATTCAGCGCTCTAATTTTATTGTAAACAATGAGCAAACGATTATATTTCATTTTGCATTATATTATGAGAGCCTATTAATCATTCTGACTAATTAATCATTTTACATCAAATCATTCAGTAACTGCCAAATAGCTCCCTAACCGAATCTTTAAAAAATTTCTCATATTATTATTATAAATAATTAAGTTTTTAGTGATCACACTATTTTATTTATAGATTAGGGTTTTGTTTTGTTTTTAAAGATAACATGCATATGAAATGACCAAAATATCCTCATATAAGGAGCACATGATCACAATCAACAAATAAAAGGCGAATCCGTAACAAGATACGTCAATCAGTGGTAAATTTATAAAGTGAAAAGTTTCAAAAAATTAAGAAACATGTATTTTAGTATTGGGCATATTGCATGAAAAAGTAACGTACTTTAACTTGATTCCTATATTGGGTAACACACTTTCAAAACTTTCATTTTGGTACCTGTGATGTAAAGTTTTAAACATTCAAGTACCCGGGTAAGTGATTGAAGCATTAACCGATTACTATGCTGATGTGGCGAGTGATGTGGTATCCAACTCATTATTATTTGCTGAAGCATTAACTGGGTACCACATCACTTGTCACATCAACATGGTAACCCGTTAATGCTTCAACATGTTACCCGTGTACTTAAATGTTTAAAACTTTATATCTTAAGTACCAAAATGAAAGCTTTAAAAGTACGTTACCCAAAATAAGAATAGGTAAAAGGGTTTGCATTTAACGTTACTACATTAGTATGTAAAAGGGACGTTCAAACGAGAAAAATAACGAAATAAAAGAACATGAAAACAGATAAATCATGTGCAAAATCACATGCAATTTTACACTAATGGTCAACATAAAGGTGTGCAGGCGACATAGCCAAAGTCGTATGAATCACATGTGATTTTAGTGTAAAATCACATATGATTTCAACTGTTTTTTATTCTTTTATTTAGTTATTATTATTCTCGTATGAACCCGACTCTCTCTCTATATATAAGGAGGTTCAACGGAGAACAGTAACCAAATAAAAAAGTACGAAAACAACCAAATCACATATGATTTTGCACTAACAATCAATGTCAGAGTACACATGTGACGTGTCCCACGACCTGAGAACATGGCCAAAATTACATGAATTGTAATGTAGGGCTGTAAACGAACCGAACGTTCAGCGGGAAGTTCGTTTATTTAAAAAATGAACGGAGATGAACAATTTTTTTTGTTCGTTTAGTTAAACGAATGGACATGAACAAGAGTCTCGATCATTCATTTATGTTCGTGAACGTTCGTTCATTTACCGTTCGTTTATATTCCTTCCTTTATGTTCGTTTATATATTAAATTTAATATATAATCTTTATTTACTTTGTATTTAAATAATATTTATTTATGTTCGTTTAACCCGTTCGTTTATATTCGTTCGTTTACGTTCGTTAACGAACGAACATAAACGAACACAAACACACCTGATTTCTAAACGAACGAACACGAACACAAATATTTTCGTTCGTTTACCGTTCGTGTTCGTTCATTTATTCAGTTAAGTTAAACGAACGAACATTAACAAGCCTCCATTCGTATTTGTTCGGTTCATTTACAGCCTTAATTGTACGGGATATAGACGTTTGTTTATTATTTTATTTATTTTATATTTTCCGATTTTTGCGAAGAGCGGATCAAATGCATTACCTGCCCATTGCTAAAGTGCGCCACCAGTGCGCACGTGGAGTAGATGCTACTAACATTACGAAAAAGCTGTTATACGTACACATTCACTCACACACATACACACTTAGCACGATCAATGGCGGTTCACAGCAGATCATCGACGGCGGAGGAGGTTGCACCGGCTTTGTTTTCTCCGATCAATCTCCGCCTCCTCGTCTTCCTTCTCCTTCTAATTACCTTCGTTAGCAGCGGCGTTGGAGGCACAAAGAAGCGAGTTCACATTCCCGACGACCTCCATGACGTGGAGGACAATGAGGAGGATGAAGCGTGGATAGAATGGGGACAGAAGAAGAGGATGACGAAGGAAGAGTTTGATCCGCCACCGGAGAATTTTTCCGAATTAGGATTTACGCAGATGCAAGAGGAGGTTTTGAAACGGCAGGTTGGACAGTCGTATGGCTTCGTTAAGCTCCGGTTAGACGATCATCGTACTCCGGTAACTCGATTCTTCTTCTGAATTTCGTTTCAATTTTACGAATTGCATTTTGCGATTCGTTTTGTTTCGGTGATTAGATATTGAAGCAAAATTTATAGCAGATCGATCATGAACGTAATTTTTATTTGAATGATTATACTGAAAGTAACGATGAAACCAATTATATCGTTTCTTTTTGGAGATTCTGTTGCAATTTGGTGATTTTAGGGCCGTTTACCGATCAGCCATTACTAAATACTTGTCTGGTAAACGTTTATCGAGTTACTTACCTTACCGAACGAATATGGTAAAAATCGAGAATCTTACATAGTAAGAGTGATTGCAAGGATTGAGAGTCTTACCCGGTAAAGGGAGGATGACATTATTCTGTGATATGATGTTGTTTTGATGGACTAAAATCTTACAAGGTAAATTAACACGCATTTGGATAAACTGCTCCTTACTTTATCAGGTAACATCATTGGTCATCAAAAAAATGGATTGTTGGTAAGCGTCTTTTATCCGGGCAAGAGTCTTCTCCCGCACCTCGGTGCTTGTTATGCATCTTACCGCGTAAGATTCTCGGTCATTGTCGTGCTCAAAGACACATGAGTAAGTGTTTCGTAAACGACCCCTTAGTATGCACATGTTTCATTCTTATGACCAAATATCCATTAAATTTGAATCATTCTATGGTAGGCATGAGAACATGTAGAACCTATTAGATTACTTTCTAAATGCGCTTTCGAGTATAGGAGATTATGGAGAAATGGTATAAGTTCACTCCAACAGATTAGCTAGGACACAGATTGTCTCAGACTCTCAAGAGAGGGCTAGATGGGCACAAATGGTGTCTTGTAACTCTGACACCATATAAGAATAAGGGGACGTTTACCAAACACTTATTCGGTAAGTGCATATCGGTAAAATTTAACACTATTATTTACTTGGCGGGTAAGATTGTAGTCCACCAAAACGACATCGTATGCAACAATACCCGGTAAGCGCTTACCGTGGTAAGAATCGTCGTCCTCACTTACCGGGTAAGACTCTTGATCCTTGTCTCGCTCTTACTGGGTAAGATTCTTGTTTCTTACCATATTCATCTGTTGAGGTAATGTTACTTGGTAAATGCTTACCCGGGTAAGCGTTTGGTAAACGGCCCCTAAGTGGAAGTCCATTATTACTCTCCAAAAAGCATTTGAGGAGAGTAAAAAGGTTTCAACATATATAGACGAAAGTGGTCCATGTCTATCTAATATGAAACTCCAAGAGTAAGAAAAGAGTACCCAAAAGATAAAGGAAGTTACAATTTGTGTATGTAAAACCAAATCAAACCAAACGAGCAAAATAGATTTCGTCCGTATGTGGGGTCTAGGGTAGAATGCACATAGACCTATCTTCTAGCCTAAAGAGTATAACAGTTGTTCTCGTGAATACGTCAGCTTGTGAAAAGTGAGAGTGAGACAACAAAAGCTTGCCAAAAAACTTGCGCCAGTAACCGAGTCTCAATTTTGACGGTTAAAGTTCAAGGCTCGATATATATTTGAATTGAAATGTGAGGTTTGGATCTATATGATCGCTATAAACCATTTCACTCGATAACATTACGTCCTTTATACGAATTCAAATCATTTGATACTAGGAGAGTAACATATGTTTTTTTTCTCTGATATCGTGTACCAACAAATTATAATTGGTACACAAAAGCTTGTAGTATATACCAACCAACCGTACTTGGTATCATCTTTTTTCGGTTGGCACATGTTAGTGCTGGTTTTGTACCAACTTCAGGTTACGTATATGGAAACTTGTAATTTTGTTCAAATTTTGAGTTTACAGATAAAAAGTATCATGTTTAAGGGTTTTTTTTATTGCAAGGAATAAAACTTGCAAACATTCAAATGTTCAAACAAAAAAAGTTAAAGTTACAATTTCTAAAATCATACTGCCATCTAAATGTAGTTGATACACCCGTTGGTCGGTTTGGGTTGGTCCATAATTGGGTGTAATTTAACAAAAAGATGAGGGAATAATGATTTGAACTTGATAAGATATTATCACCTAAAAGATGAGTCTAAATACCATCAAGTCGGATTAAAACCAATTCAGTATATCCCATTCAAAGGAAGGTATGGGGAGGATAAGATGTATACAGTCTTAGCTCTATCCAAAATGGTTTAGCAATTGTTTTAGGGCCTGTTTGGTTAGTTTTCTATCAAGTCATGTATTGATAAAGATGTCTGTGTGGGTTAATCGATCTGTATATATTAGGAAGATTTTTGTTTAGAGGATTTTTTTTTCATAGATCGAAGGAGTGTGTTTTTTAATTGGGAGAGACAGGTAAAAATTGGTTTTCTACGTAAAACTTTTCCCTATAAGCTTATTGAATAAGCCACTACCAAACAATCATGTATAGCTGACCAAATAAGTTGTGAATCCTATTAAGCTGCTTGCACAGGTAGACCCTTAGCAAAATTCTAAATACTAAAAATTGTCACTTTGTGTTGTTTATTTTTGCAGAATATGGTATCAGATATTGCAGTGAAATGGACCAAACTTGCAAGAACTGGATCAATAGGAGTTGTTTTCATGGGGTTTGATATTAACACTGTAATGTTCACATTACAAAATGTCCAAAACACTTTGGAGGTTAGTTCTCTTTCCAATATCTCATTGCTTTGTATTTTGTTTCAATTTTCAAATTATACCCTTTATATTTTTTCAGTTAGTTTGTCGGACATATCATTTTAGATTATTTTATATTATAATATAGCTTATCAACTAATTCTTTTTATCAATCTTAGCAGTTAGTTTACCAAATAGACATTACTGTTATTTGATTTGGATTTGGGTTTGTAACACGAACTTCACAAATTCCATCATTGGACTTTCGAATTGTAGGTTGAATCTTGTGGTCATATAGAATGAATACTTAGGGGCCGTTTATCAAACGTTTACTAGCATGAGGCATCACCCTTACCTACTTTATCGTGTAACCTTATCGACCATCAAAATAGATTGTTGGTAAAAGTCTTAAACGTTTACCTGGTAAGTAGTGGCGGATGTAGTATGTAAGGGGTGGGGGAATGGCCCCCCGATTAATTCTCCCCCCCCCCCACCTTTTACATAGGTTAAAAAACAATTTTCTTTTAACTTTTTACCATAGTTCTCCCTAGTAATTTCCTGCATGTGCCCCCACCAACCAAGAAAAGTACCACGAAATAAAGCAAAAAAGTCTCTTGAAATCAATAAAAGAAAACCGGAAAAGTAGCTCAAAATCGACAAATAAACTAAAAAATCCCTCGATACGATGGAATTAGACTAATAACACATCAGACAACTTTGCGGTCCTTTGATCTTCCCTTAATGGTACCCCCACTAGGCAAAAATCCTGGATCCGCCATTGCAAGTAAGAGTCTTTTCTTTCACTTGCCGGGTAAGACTCTTGGTTGTTGTTATGTCTCTTATCAGGTAAGATTCTTGATGCGTGGCATGTTCAATCGGTAAGGTAAGTGATATTGTATTTAATATACCCTTACATGCAAATTATATTACTTTATTATTATTATTATTATTATTATTATTATTATTATTATTATTATTATTATTATTATTATTTTTGGGGAGGGGGGAGTATTGATTTTGGAAGTATATAGTATTTATGTATGGCAAATGCTGACTCGCACATTCCTTACGTCTGATGAGTTTTAAACCCTTAACCTCCTGAGACTGGCTGGGATAACAGCTAAGCTCTACTAGTAAAAGTTACTCTAGGAATAACAGGTTGATCTTCTCCAGGAGCTTACATGGAAGCAATCAATCTATATAGATTCATCCATACGATTGGGCCAATGGCACTTGTTATTGCCTAGACACTGAATATCTTTTAAATCGCATACCCTTTTTTTTAACCGTGGCCATAAGGGTTTTGACAACGCTTAGATTCGAATAGCCTGAACTTATCATCGCATCGCAGGTGAACCTCCATGGCTATAAGGGTTTTGGCAACGCTTGGATTCAAATCCAGGGTAGATGAGATTTTTTTCACTACATCTCACTTAGGCTTAACGAGTGCGCTACAATCTAAAGTGATTTAAACCACATACTCTTGTTAACAACTAAATTTGTATTATGTTTTGTTCAGTTTAAAGATTTCCTACTAAGTCAGCCGGAAGCATACGAGATTAAGATGGGAGATCGGTTTTTCCGAAGACCCGGAGATCCTTCGTACGACGAACTTCTGAAAGACTTGTACAAGAAGAACAAAAAGCGTGGTAAATCCTCAAATGAAACGACCATGAAACCCGAGTTAGAAACGACCGTGAAACCCGAGTTAGAAATGAGCGTAAAAACCGAGTTATAAGTTGCGTTTTTCATTTTCTTCTAACCATTGCCTAAATTACCTTGGGCAAGTTTTGCAAGTTTATTTGATAAAAATAACTTAGTCTTCCACTTCTAGACGTATAATTTAGAAATAATTGATTGGTGTTTATAAAATAGTCATTATTGCCTATCGATTAAGTGTTATTTTTAGTGTATTATCATAATTTTCTATGAATTTTTAAAATAAAGAAAATAAAGATTTTATGGTTTTTTTCTCAACTGATTCTTCAAAACGAAGAGTCAAAATCTTCAAAGTCAAACTGTATTTAACTTCAACAGATTCTTTATTTTGAAAATCACAAAGTTAATTATATAGCAATACCAATCCATCCTGAACTTGGTGGTTAAACTCGACCGCGGTGACGATGGCTTCCCTTGCATTATCGGGTATGAATGGTTTTGTTGCAGAAGTTATAGACAAATAATGTTGTACCATGACATATATGGAATAATAGTAATTAATGCTACAATGGCCGAGACCAGGACAAAAGGGTCGTGATCCCCCGAGGGTGAGCTAACTCTAAAAACCCGTCCCCAGTTTTTATACATGTAATAAAATATTTTTCTCTTTTATAAACATTTAAAATCAAAATTTCGCATTGGTGATAATATAAAAAATTTCTCTCTCATGATGATCATTTTTTGAGAGTCATTCAAATTCATAGAATTTCACACTTTCCTTCCTATTTTCTTCATTTTAGAGAAAATTTTGGAGAATTATCGAGAGCAAAACGTTTGTCTAAAATCTTCATTTTCTTTATTTTAGAGAATCAGAATCGACAACAGATCTTCTAAAAGTCCCCAAATTTGAAAAAGTTTGATATTTTAACAGTGGAAAATAATATTTTACTATTCTCATCAGTAAAAAAAATTGAAATTAAATGTCTATGAGAGAAAATTAATATTTTATTAAGGGGTTGTTTGTTTACCTCTTAATAGTTTCATTAAAAGATAGACTTTAAATCGTTAAGAGGCGAATCTTTGCTTGACAAAAAAAAGTTTGTCTCTTAATAATTCTAAAACTCTCTGAATGATTTTGTATCATAGACATCTCTTAACCATTTAACGCCCTAATTTCATTGTAAACAATCATCAAACAATTATATTTAATTTTGCACTATATCACGAGTCTTTTAATCATTCCGACCGCTTAATTACTTTAAGTCAAACCATTTAACAACTGTCAAAACAACTCCTAAATGTATTGAAAAGAATATGTTAAGAGTAAATGTAATTCTTTTTTGGATATTATGATTTTTAACTCTGAATTCTTTTTATTTTTTGAAAAATCTATTAGAAATGGTACTTCATTTTCAAGATGGTATCATTGGAGTCAGAATATATAATGAGGTATTACAACAATCAACTTTTTGGTTGTAGGATTCTATTTGACAAAAGAGGTTTTAATATTGTTTGGGAGTTACATGTAAAAAATATTTTTGATAGAACAATCCCATTTGGAAAATGGCAAATAGCTGATAAATTAATTATTAGCTGATAATTTGACTGATAAATTAGTCATATTTGGTAAGACTAACTGATAAACTAGATGTCAATGTAAAATAAATTAAAAGAACTGTAAAATTAATTAGGAAAACTTACAGGGCTATAATTAGGGGTGCTCAAAAATCCGACCAACCTGATCAACTCAACCTAACGTAAAATAACTCAACCTGAAGTAACCCAATGTCTAATCGAGTTGTAAAATTTTCAAAACGTCGATATTAAGTTACTATTATTTGAACCCAACTCAACCAGATGAGCCCGATATCATTTTATTTCTTGGATTTAATATAATTGTTGAATTTCTATTAATATATACATTAGACAATTACACTATCATGTACGCTCTTCATATACCCATATTTTAAATCTATTCACATCTCTATATAACTCATTTGTATACATGTTCAGTAACAGTGAACATATATATATATGAATTGAGAAAATTAATTGAATGTGATATAGATAACAAGTATGGATAAGTTGTATCAAATAGTTGATGAAAAAGAAATTATGAGTAGAGAAATAACATATTCAAAGTTGGAAGAATATTTTAATGTACCAAAGTACTAACCCGACCAACCAATACGGTTTGGCTTGGGTTGGGTTGCCCCCTTTGGTTTGGTTTAGGTTGGATTAAGATTTTTCAAACCACAAGCATTGGGTTGGGTTGTTCAAATATCTTCAACCCGATCAATCCAACCCATGAACACCCCTAGCTATAATGGAATATAAAAAACTCTATAGCTTCTTTGAAGCAACTTTTCAAAAAGTTAGTTTATATAATGAGATTATTTTTTCAATAAACTAAAAAGGGTAAATTGTATGAAAAAATAACGTATTTTTAACGGGATTGTGAAAACAACTCCGTGACATTATAGTTGTCAAACATATAGTCTTAGGAGCCGTTTATCAAACGCTTACTCGGGTAAGTGAACACCAAGTCACACTACCTTATCGGATGAATATGACAAAGACCAATAATCTTACTCGGTAAGAGAAGGAAAAGGACCAAGAGTCTTACCCGGTAAGTGAGGGCGACGACTCGTACCACGGCAAGCACTTACCGGGTAAATTGTTGCATACGATACCGGGTAGATATTTCTTGTAGTGATGGAAAGGGGGATATAAAACATATTTAAAAAAACTTGCAACTTGGAGAAAGGAGGTTTAATTGATATGAATTAGAGTTTTTGGAAGATGATATCATCTATGGCTTCCATTTGCAATTTTGCATCAAGAATATAAAAGAAATAAATGGTGTTGGAAATTAAGATACCTTTATTTTAACTTCTTGCTGAAATCAGACAGCTGAAGGATCTGAATTCTGGAATAAGTTGCAGCTTCCTCTCTTTCTTTTTGAGTGTTGTACCCCCAGTCACCTGATTAAAAAACAAAGGGTCCCAATTTTTATGATTGTTATCTTCGGGTCATATGGGATTAGTCAAGGTGTTCGTAAGCTGACTCGGGTACCCACAATTATGCAAAAGAAAGTAACCAACCCACACGAATCAAGTACTGTTTGGCAGTTGCTGAATGGTTTGGTGCAGAATTTAAGAGGCTCTCATGATATAGTGTAAAATGAAATATAATTATTTTGGTAATTATTTACAATGAGATCAGGACGCTGAATGGTTAAGGGATGCCCAGGATACAAAATCATTCAGAGGGTTTTAGAACCATTAAGAGGCAGACTTTTTTTTTGCCAAACAAGATTCACCCTTAACGATTCAAAGGTTGCCTCTTTTTGGAACTGTTAAGAGGTAAATAAACAACCCCTTAAATCTGAAAGGTAAGATGTACGCAGATTTTTCCCCTACCCGAAGAAGTAGAGAGGTTGTTAACTACAACAAAATCAGTGTTTAAAGGACACCAACAATTTCTAGGTGAGTAGACTGCTTTATAGGACTTAAGTTTATAAACCAAAAACGATAAAACATCCTATCTAAATGTGTTGTAATAAGTTTATAGGAAGCTTTTAGGGCATTTTAACAAGTTTTTTACGACACTGTTAAATTTTAATACATAATGTCGTATTACCTATTTCATAGGACACTTTTGAGATGTAGGACCAAACAATAAAACATACAAAGTGTTGTAAGAGTTTATATGATGTTTTTTAAGCGTCTTAACAAGTTTTTATTGGGCACTTTTAAATTTTAATACAAAACATCGTATTACCTATTTTGTAGGACACTTTTAAGAAGTGTCCTATAAACGAATCTTTTTATAAGACACTTATTTCTATAAAACATTTTTTTTCATAAAATGTCCTATAAAATAGTTAATACGACGTTTTTTTTAATAAAAAAGTCCTAAAAACTTGTTACGAAGCTCAAACACGTCCTATAAACCTATTACAACACCTTTAGATAGAAGGTTTTACTGTTTGGTCCTATAAATTGTCTTATAAAGCAGTCTATTAAGATGCTTAGACATTTTTGGCGTCCTATAAACTCAATTTTGTTATATTGGTTCCTGCGAAGACCTCTAGCTTGCTAAAAAGCTTGCGGAACAAAAGGCTATGCAAAAAGAAGTATACGGGGTCTTAAAACGACCCCGAAAGAATGCCGAAGAAATTGGAAGAAAAGAAGTTTGGGTGTCCTAATAATTCAACTACCGTTTCTTACGAACATCGGGTAAGAAAGAATGGTTTGCAGTCAAAATTAGACTGCATTAATTTTACTATATTTCAACCACAAGGGTGGTGCCTGATTGGTTTGAGCTTGGCTTCAAAGGTCAAAAGTACCATGATATCCCAGGTTCAAATCCAAGGAGGAATAAAAATCCCCTTGTGGCCACGGAGGTTCAAATGTGGTGACTCCGGGCTATCTGCAAAGCAGGTGGTCGCCCTGGGATTAGTCGGCTCGCATAGCGGGTTGGATATCCAGGTTAATCAAAAAAAAAATTTACTATATTTCAGAAAATTATGTATTCAATTCATACAAGGAGGGTTGTTGTTTCTACAAAAAGGATTATACCAAACTTTTTTGCTCATATAACCGTTTTTTAAGTAAGGTTGGGTTCCGGTGAGAATGGAAGTTATGGTGAGAAGGGTGAGAAGGGGTCTCCACCCTTGGATCAATCCTAATTGAAATCAACACTAATGAGTTGCACCGGATCAATTCCCATATCAAGCGGAATTCATCGGGTGGGGGTGAGATTAGAAGTGATCAAAGGTCCAGATCCTTTCTTTACGCTACTCACCTTAACTCCTACTCTCACACGATCCTTCGTCTTTTTAAGTATATATAATATTTTATATACGTTAAACTCATTATGCTCCTCACCTTTGGTGATTTTTAGCACTGGGTCTATGACCATTTGGTTCATAGAACTGTTTTCTTACAATGTTTGAGCAAGAAAGATGGTTTGCAATCCGAATCAAGATTTTTTGTAACCAGCACGTACCACACAAGAAATGAAAGTTGGTGGTTGGATAAGAAACTACGAAGGCAAGTGAAGAGGTGTACTTACCTAGATACAAGTTCCATCCGTTTAACTCGGGTTCTTTGATAACATTTTTCAGTGTTGCGAGTCGATCTTCCACAAAACTGGTAAAAATGAGGAGGGATTAGCAAAATACAAATGGGGCAACATTTGATTGGGGGCAAATCAAATGAGAATCGGAAATCTGTTAGAACTATGAGAACCTGCTTCACATGTGAAACATTCAGTGTTGACAGAACTGTTGGGTCATTTAGGTATATAACCTTAAATGGGATTTAAATTAAATCCATGACCTCCCTGACATATTAAAGAAAAAATGGTTTTATACTCTGTCATGAATCTAATTAAAATCTCATTTAAGGTTATATACCTAAATATACCCAGAATTGCGTCCATACGTTTCATATATGCAAAACACACACACACACACACGCATGACCAGAAATACCACATTGGATCTAGCCTAAAATGAAACTCATTGAATGCTTCTGATTGGTTCTCACAGTTCTCAATACTTCTGTGGTTCTCATTTGATTTCCCCGCATGTGATATTGCTTACAAGATAAAACAAACCACGTCTGCACAAGGAACCGATCCACTAGGCTTGGGACCGGTCCTTTGATAACCAGATTTCTTGAGTACCGGTAAACCTATAAAAATTACTTTCTATTCATCATGAATTTAAAAGTCTTAACAAACACAATAATCCCGTTTTCACTATTTTTGTAGATTTGAATTTGCAAAGCACAAAACTTAAAATTACGTGTCAAAATTCAAAATACTTTTGAGATACGGAAAAGCGGAGTCATGAATAAGAAGTGTTATCGTTTATGCAAATTGCAGACGATAAAAGAAGTTCCAAATCTTATGCAAGCAATGACACTTTAGCCCATCAGTATCAGTATGGCCTTTTTCGCCACCATCCCAAACCGGACCAAGCTGGGGAAGGGGATTGTTGGCAGACCCTACACACGGACCTCTGGTCTCTTTGAGCATTTTTACAACAAACCAATCAAATTTGTTACGGATGATAGATTGTAACTCGAACAAGTCCTAATCGGAGTTGTTCTATCATCTACAATAAATTTCATTGGGTTGTTGTATCATGCCAACAAGATGACACATACTCCAAGACTAAGGGGTTGGGTGGGGGAATATTTAGCTCAATGACCTCCAGAAGCTCGTTTTGCAAAATAACCCTCCGGTTTATTTCTAATATTTCACGAGAGCAAACTATTTTAAACCAGGGGAAAGCGGTTTTGAACCAGAGGCGGGTCAGATGAAGATCATCGAGCCAAATGTTCCTAATTGAAAACCCATTTAAGTTCATTTACCCAAATGACCCCACCGCCCGCCGAGGGAGAAACTTGATGACTTACTGTAGGGTGAGGCCTTGGTGTTCGGGTTTCTTTTGTAGCATCTTCAGCACTTCGACTTTAGGACTAATTTTGAAAGTTGAAATAAAAAAGAAAAAACAGAATTTGGTTAAACAAATCAAAATGTGGCTCTATGAAGCTACTCCCTCCGTTCCAATATAAATGTCCACAATGAAATTTTGAAAAAGGCCCATAGTTTCAGAAATGTGTAATTATTACACTTTTTAATTAACAAAATGACAATTTTACCCTTAATAATAGAGTGAGCAATTAATTTATCCATCTCATAATCAAGGGTAAAATTGGGAAGTAAGTACTTACTTTTCAAATATACTAGAAATGTGGACAATTAGTTTCGGACGGAGAAAGTATTTGACCTTTTACAAGAATCCTCCAGTAAAGAGTACTTACCCGGTTCCAAGACCATAGATTCTTTCAGGTGGTATGGTGACTCCAGCAAGTTCTCGAAGTAAGGCATCAGCGAAACGACCCTGGGAAGACGAAATTGGGAGATGAAATGAAGAAACAAACATATGAAGTTCGAAGAAAAAAAAACTATTGTCTATAATAATTGTATATGTAAGTAGAGTCCCCTTCTTTTACAATCTCAATTATTCGTACAAACCAGTTTTCATGTACTATTTCATATATGAAACAAGTGTGTAAATGCAATTTTGTTTCATATGTGAAACATTCAGGACTGGTTTTGTCCACACACAAAACATTCGGAACGTTTCACACATGGAACAACAATGTATAAACACTGTATTTTCACACGTGTTGTTTCATATATGACAACACATGAAAACTGATCTGTAAGTTTGTACATTTATTGGGTTTGTAAATGATTATAAATCTATGTAAGTAATATGCATCCCGTGTACATTGCAATAATCGACTCTATATGTAGTTTAATGAAAGGTTGAAACGACTAAAATACCCTTCAACCATAATACAATCAGCAGAGTCTTTTGGACTGAAATACCATCAATAATTTGTATTTTGTAATGAGAGTAATGGGCAAATAGATTGTAACTTGTAGTTTTGCCAAAAACAGTTAACATGGGGGATTTAACAAAAGGAGTGTGCAGCGATTTCCGTGGGATAGAGGGATTACTTGTTTTGTGGTAACTATATAGACGTCTGAACTTGCAAACTTCAATGCATCAGGAACACCAGGATAAAACCTGTAAAGGAAGTCAAAAGTGAGCTCCTAACCGGAAAACAACATGCATCGAAGAAGGATACCTAAACCCCAAGTTGAATGTTCTCAAAGTTGCACCATCAGGGTAACGGTAGATCCTAAACCAAACCAAACCAAACCAAACGAAACGAAACGAGCCTAGTATATCCCACTTGAAAGTAGGGTCGGGGAGGGGTAGGATGTAGACATACCTTACCTAAACCACTAGGATCAAGAGGTTGTGCAAGCAGGCATGGTTTTAAAAATCGTTTGAGGCATACGCCTCGACCCAAAACCGCACCTAAGGCGGTGGCTCTTGGACCCTGGACGAGGCTTACGCCTTGGTTCTGTGAGGCGGTTTGGTGAGGCATACGCCTCAGATGATCTGCTTCGATAATTGTTTTTTGGCTTTTTTATAAGCTTTACGGCACTAGTAGTACTTCTCTTTATAGTATAAGTGTCTTTTTTTATTTTAAGAAACTAAAAGTCAAAGCCCAATAAAGAAAGCTAGTACTTTCTCCTCTCAATCAAAAAGTGCAGTTTGACCCTCTTCCTCCAAGCAACCAATTTTTCTACACCCTCTCAGCCTATCTCACGGTTTCACCCATTCCTGTGTCAAGAACCACTGAACCAGCACCCTTAATAATTTAGTATTACATATATTGTATATATCTTTCTGTAGTATATATACATATTTTGGTGTATATATATTTCCGCCTCGAGGCCCGATTCCGTCTTTTAAAACCTTGCAAGCAGGCAAATAGGATTGAGAAATAAACAGGTAATCAGGAAATATAACAAGTAGACTAACAATTTCGTTGTGTGATCACGATTCAAAGGTGTGCAAACAGACAATGAAATAAGGTAAAACATGTCATACAAGTAGAACTAATGTAAATGGCAACTTAAACATGTAGGCATAACCAGTAAGAAAGTCAAGCAACTATCCCACACAAAGAGCCTATTTGTCAACACCCTCTACCCAATCTTACTAAAAATCAGCCACTCTGGGATCCTACTAATAGACAACCGTCAAATATACCACTAGATTCCTCATGTTTTATTTTTCAGAAAAGAAATACAAATTAAAGACACATTTACTCTCCTCATAACCAAATCTCCTAATAAGCATGAATTAACAAGTTTGGCAATTGGGTGATATTAACACGGTTATTTATCATCCCACACAAATGGTCTTATGACTTTGTGGAGGCATGTGTTTAGGTGGAGGTCGGTCCTTTGGTTAAACGGACTGACAGTTTTTTTAAATACATGATTTTTTGACAGGTTTGAGAATGCAAGTGCTTAGCAGAAGCATGTCCTTTCCATACCCAAGAATGCCTAGAAACCTGTCAGAAGGTCATGGATTTAAAAAGCACTTGTTAGAAGGTCAATTGGCTAAATAATCCGTGATTTAGTTAACAGTCACCCCCATTAGCGGGTGGGGGTGGGGGGGTTAAGTTATTGAGTTATAGGGGTTCTAACATTAAAATTGTTAAGTTGATTTTGAACAGCGCAGTATGCTTTAATACTCAGTTCAGATGTAAGAATTTTCAAGACTCAACACAAATCACCTGTTTGCTCCAACCCAGGTAGCCAAGTCCTTCTCCATCCATTCATCCCTAACCTTTCCGAAGAGATCTACAAGGGCATCTCTGTTTTCACTCCATTCTTCCATTATTACTGGCTTTATCTTTGACCAGTTTTCCAATATTCCTTCAATGGTGAGTCCTTCTGCCACCTTGCAAATTAAATGAAAACAATCATGTTTATACTATTTCATAAGGGTGGCATACACACCATCCAGCCATCAAATGTTCTTCTTATGTTCTTTCTACCCAATTGTTTTTTGAACAGTCTTTATCCTTTTTTTGCACACTATACACAAGCCAGAGGTCTTCACGGAAACAGCCGCTCTACTCTTCGGGGTGGAGATCAGGTTTGCATACATCTCACCTCCCCCCGACCCCATCTTCGGGTGGGATATACCAGGCTTGTTTTGTTTGGTTTAAACACTATCTAGTCATTAGTTAATACAAGTAAACGTTTCTTAATTATATACACACCGATGACTTGCACAATGAAGGGATCTTCATCTCCAGAAGCAATCTCACAAGTAACAAGTTCTCGTATCCAGTTTCCACAACAGGCCGTACCTGCCACAATTTGAGAACAGAATTTTATGAGATAAAATAGTATGTGACCATTCATTGATGTTAAATAGGAATCCCATCCAGTAAGTCTAGTAAAAGTGCATATCAAGAATTCAATAACATGAATGCCATGAGAAAATGGAAAAAAACATGGGGGATGTACAAGGTTGAAAAAAGGGAGCTGTAAGAAAGGAACACCGAAGAATAAGTAAAGACCTTCAAGCTAAGCAACTCATCTTCATAAGAGAGAAATATCTCCACCTACTACAGGGAATTTTACCTTCAGAAGGAGATTGGAGTTTAGATGGTGCAACGAACTTGGTCACAATACAAAACTATGCATCGACTGCAGGCGTAAAGATAGTAGAGTCCTAAATCCCAATAAGATCGAGCAAGTCCCAATGGGATGCATATCATTTTTATGGTATAGACATCTTGGTTCATGCTACTGAATATTTATGGACACCGTTAAGAATGCTTCCAATCAAGTTTGATGATTGCTAAAATAACTCTATGATGAATTTTACATTGGTTGAGAGTATTAACTCATCCTATATTCATCACAGCTTGTATATGCTGCGATGTTCCCCCTATTTATCTCTTAATTGCTATATTTCCCTTAATTTATGTCATCATCCCTCACAGTTATTGTTGGTACTTGCCTATTCCTTAGTTATGTTTCTGCTCATATATGATTGTAAAACTTCACATTTCACTTTTACCATGTGTAGCAGGTAAAGGAGGGAGGTTGTAAAACTCCTTATATTGATCTCTAATCATGATTGGTGAGAACCTACCATACAAACCCCTAAATCCCAGATTGTGAGTGTGTTGTTTTTATGATACATTATTGTCATTCTCCACATGTTCCAGAAAAAATATTTAAGTGCCCCCCTACACAGTAGACACACACTTTCGATCTACTTTGGTTTCCTTTTAAGCAGCTTATTAACCATCAAGCACGGATTAAGCATCCGCTATAGTTGTTGAGTAACCACTTAGACTGCTTGGTCTTTTAGTCTGCGAATAAACAGGAGTAGGAATAGGTCTTTTTGTTTTAGTCAATTCCTTTATTTCAG